AAGAATCAGTCTGCGAACTCCACCTTTTCAGCTTCTAGTCTTAGGAGATTCTCATGTGGTCGGCTGGTATTAGACTCACATAAGAAACCCTAACTTGGCTCTAATACCATGAAGATGATCAAGACTGCTATCAGTCTTGGACACTAAGGAATTTCAGGTTCGAACAGAAGAGAAAGTGAAGAAGAAAGAGGAGAAAGATTAGTGAGAGAGCAATAGAACACAAGTTTGAAAGGAAGGACAGATTCTGAATGATCTGCCGCCACCACTTCAATTTAATATTTATATGTCATGCTAGTTACATGAAAGGACATATTTGCCCTTGGTGTTTACATCATAACACTTAACAATATAAAAAACCTGAAAAGTAAATAACAGAACTAGAATAACAGAATAACATAACAGATAGACTAGGTATATTCTACCCTACGGACAGAGTGGCCCCACATCAGTTTCTCTACAGTGGTCACTTCAGTCAAAAAGGAATCTACCGGGCCAACCCCGGATACCAGCATCTACTTTGATTCACTTTTGGAATGCTCCATTAATCAAACGAAAATAAAAAAATCAGTTCTTCAATCTATATAAATTTAACTAGGGGTGAGCAAAAAAAACCGAAAAACCGAACCGACTGAAAAAACCAACTGAAACTGAACCAAAAAATTGGTTAACCGAACCGACCGGTTCGGTGTTTTTAAAAAACCTAAGGTACCAGTTCGGTTTCAGTTAACCAATATAGAAAACCGGCGATTAACCGAACTGACCGGTATACATATATTTCTATATATTTTATATATATTTATGTATATTATATATATTTTATATATTATAAATTAATAAATATGCATTATATATATAAATATATATATTTATACTATATAATATATTATTTATTGTTTAAAATATAATAGTTTATTTATATTTATAATTTCTTATTATATGTTTATATATATTTTTATAATTTATATTGTAAAAAATAAAAAACCGAAAAAACCGATGAATCGAACCAGCGGTTAACCGATAAGTTTTGGTTTGTTTCGGTTATCGATTTTCCAAAAACCTGTACTACTGGTTCGGTTACAAAAAGTGCCCCACGGTTACAGTACCTAGAAACTTGAAAACTAGGGTTTCATTGCACCCGGTTGTCGGAGAGGAAGAAAGAAGAGGTAGTCGCTCCTACCAGAGCTTCCAAACCACCTACAAGTCTCAACCACACACTTCTAGAGATCAAATTACACCTCCCAAGTCCTAAGCGCCACACCCAAATCTTCTCCTTGACCTGTAACTTAAAAGCTCTCTAGTCGGCTAGGGTTTTGGGCAGAAAATTACAGCTCCACTTCTTGGCAGTTTTCGACCAGATTCTAACTCTCCAAACCCTCTACCAACTAGGCAAAAATATTCTCTAATCTATCAGGAACTTATCTCTCCATACACACTCCTAATCGAAGGGTGTATGGGAAAAGAGAAAAGAAAAAAGAGGGAAAATCTGCTTTGATACCAAGTAAATCTGACTTCTAAATCTAATAAGAAACTTGATTAAAGAAGTAAAAAAGTGAGAAAGGAAGAGGAAAACAGCAGAATAGAAGAAGAGGGTTCGATAATCACCTCTCTCCCCTCACTAATCCTTTTATTAATCTTCACTAATGTGGTTAATTACAAATCAGCCCTTAAGTGGGGCGTCCAGCTAAGCATAAACTTAAAATAACTTAAAAAGAATTTAACATGCACATAAGACAGGTCCATTAGCATACAAAATAAATAACCTACTACTGAAACATAAAATAGACACTAGGGCCCATTCGGCCCAGTCTCTCTACACCATCCTTTACTCTTCTTACCTTTCACCAGTTAACTTTTTATAGATATTTTCTTTATAAACTTATAATTCATGTGGCTGCTATAACATCCTCTGCAAAATGAAGTCTATTTTCAAACTGTCACCACAAAAGTGCAAACTGCAGGAGCCAAGAATCCCCACCTCAATGCTATATGTTAACTTAGTCTCAAGTAATTAAGCACTTTGGAGGAGGTTATTCTCACACCTACAAAATTTGTTTTTATAAGGTAGTCCAGTTCATTTGTCAGTATTTAGTATTAAATATAGAAACTCAAATTGAGCATGCTTTAGAAACATTAGAAGGGCAATATATCAGGGACTTGTTAAGATAAGAAAAAGAAAAACTAGCAAGGAATTAGTAGTATGTACATATATGCAGGGGACTACAAATTCTGTAATGGGACCAAGACCAACCTTTGATATCCTCTATGATGAAAATCAGCTGACCAAATATCTTTAAACATACAAAAAGGACAAATGATGTGTCCAATCACCATATCCTTTTTGAGCATGATGTTCATGATGTTGTTTTTATGGTCTATCCAACAGGCAAGAAGAACTCTTCTAAACAAAAAGATTCACCAAACACTCGGTTGATTAAATACTGTAATCATTATGAACAGTTTAATTCCACATGGGTCTTTAAGATTGAATGTTTAATTTTAACAATGTCCCACTAATTAAGATGCAAGTGAGATATAACACTACATATGGATAACTAATAAAGAAACTACATACGGATAAACTCCACAAGAGCATAAAAATTATCATATCTTGTAAAAAGAACAAAGCAGGCAGATGATTGAGGTTTTGCATCTTACCTTTTCCTGAATTGAATGAACGACAGAATTATATTGCCGCTGACCTTCAAGTAAATCACCTGTCTTAACATGATTACCAGAATCTAAATCAACAAATTCTATGTCTTCATCAGGAAGCAAATCCCTAGGGGTTTCACTTTTAGAAGCAGATGACTGGGAAGCATCATCATCTTCTGAGCCTTTCAAAGGTTCAATTCCACCAAGATGCTCTGCATCCTTTTGCTTTTTAACCGCAGCTCCCAGACGCACAAGAAGCTCATTGGTTTTTCCAAGAAGCATTGTTAACCGTTCATTCTTACTCTCTTCTACCATCTTCATGTATGCTTCTTGGTCATCAGCTTTTAGTGCTTGAATCCTCAATTTTTCTGCTCGTGTAGCACGTTGCCGTTTCCTTCCATGCCATGCCTGTTAACATATGAGAGGGCCCACAGTGAATCCCTTTACAAGATAACAATAAAGAATAATACTTACAGGGGATGAGCAAGAGGGGAAGGACCTTTTTGAGCACAATCCCTCTGGTTAGGTGGTTTGAAACAGTAGAAATTTTAATGACAAGGGTAAATCTGTGACTTAAGTGGTTAGGTGGGCCATAGAAACCTTTCATTCTTGCCTTGCAGCCCATGTGCTGTTTAGAGGCATCTCCCACCATTCTCATTTTGAGTATTCAATATTGTTTGCTTGAGATCTATCGTAGAGTTTGTCGAGTAGCTTTTTGGAACTTCACATATTCTTTTCTATAATTATCTTGTACATCCTTTCATTATCATGTATAGTTCTCTTGCTCTACATGGAGAATACTTGTACATGGTTATAGTTAAGTATCAATGAAACTACTTAACTCTCCCTCTCTCTTTCTCAAAAGAAAAAAAAAAAGACCACTCATATAGAACCACAATAAATGCTATTTTGTTCTCAATTTTTTTCATGAAACTCACAATATCATACACCATCAGTGTTAAAAGTGTCAGCAAGTCATCAACCAACTAGTCAGTTGAGGACTGGACTAACTGTACCACTAACTAGTTGGTCAATACTCATGATGCAATCATCTAGGATGACTAATCATCAACTAGTCAATTAACAACAAAGTTATTTTAAAGCTTTATTTGTTTGCTTGTATTTCAAATTATTTGAAATAATATTGAGTATGTTTGTATTTTGTTATATTCATGCCATTGTCTTAAATATTTGTGATGGAGCACGATTGGATGATGACATATAAAATAGAAAAAAAAAACATAAAATAAAAGAAGAGAATGCAGGAGTACTTTTAAGTTTTCTTTCAATCAGTGCTGTGTTGGTGCAGAGTTGCACAAACAAAGCGCACACTGATTAGTCAAGGTTGCACTCCTTTGGAAAACAAAGGTTGTAATTCCCTTTCCTAGCCTATCCAATTTGACCTTTTATTTTTTATGTTTGCAAAATGAAGACAATAAAATAAATGTTCAAGGTCATTCTTTTATTGCATGTTGTAGTCTATATTGACTTATTTATGAGATTACATCAATATCTTAAATTCAGAACATATCCTTTTTCATCAACTAGTCAGTGGCACTGACTAGTCATCAATTGACTAGAGAGACCAAAACAACTAGTCACTATATGTAATGTAGGGATGTCAACAGGTTGGGTTCAGTATGGGTCCCAAACTGAACCTTATCCAACTTATTGGGACAGGAATACAAAATTTGACCTACCCCACCACCATGAAAATTACAATTGTTTTTAGCAAAGGCTATATTTACAATTTTTTCAATGTTACTATGTCAATGGAAGTACAGACTGTTACTGGAGTGCTCCCGGGCAATGTTGATGCCTCTAGTGGTATGATAACCATTGTGAAATTTAATGGAACCTCTCAATCAGTCAAGCTTACTATTGGAGGTAGGGTAAGCCAGGATTCATTACTAGTAAGGAGGGGAAGCTGAAACCTGATGACCCCAAATTTGCCAAATGGGAACAAGATAATTCTTTAGTTATGTCATAGATGGTGTGTTCGATGCAGCCACATGTTGCCCATAACTACATGTTCTTCTCCACTGCCAAGGATATTTGGGATTGTGTTACAGCCACATACTCTCAGGCAAAAAATACAGCCCAAGTCTAACTCTAAAGATAAGCCTATAATATGCATTAGGGGGAGAGGACTATAGCCATGTACTTCTCTTCCTTGCAGTCTCTATAAGAAGAAATGGACCATCTGGAGGCCTTGGAATGGAAACCTTGAGGATGGTGAACAATACCAGAAGTATGTTGAGAAGAATTAAGTGTTTGACTTCTTAGTTGGRTTGAATGCTGAGTATGATTTTACTCAACAACATATCTTGAGTGCAAATATTGTTTCTCTTGCTACTACATTCCTTGGTACAGGGAGAGGAGATTAGAAGGGTTGCCATGATGCAGACTTCAATGGTGGACCATTCTATTTATATGTCTTCCAAACCCAAGTAGAGTATAAGTAGAAATGGTGTTAATGTAAAACCTGATGAAGTGGTATGTGAATATTGAAAGAAGCCAAAGCAGACCAAGCATAGGTGTTGGAAACTAAATCCGCATTTGAAGCTTGAAAGGTTTAAAACAACAAAGAAGTGAAATGTGTTCACCTTGCTACTATTGGAGTGGATTGTCCTCCTAATGTACAAGCTCCTACACATTATCCCTCTAATGTGATGGAGAAGCTCAGGATCCTACTGACTCAACTTGAGAAGCCTAAGTCCTCTACCTTTACTGGTTCTAGTAATCCTTCCAATGCTTTTGCAAATACAAGTACTGCACTTGCTTGCCAATCTTCTTCTGCTAGCTCCTAGATTGTGAACTCCAGAACTAGGGCACATATGACTGGTATGATGTCCCACTTCACTTGCTATAAATTGGCTCCAGGGGGGGGGGGGGGGCAAAATCACTGTAGTTGATGGATCTCATACTCCAATTTCTGGTATGGGTGAAGTTAAGCTTACTCGTGATCTTTCTCTGAGCTTTGTTCTCCATGTTCCTTAGTTATACAAAAACCTTTTATCTCTTAGTTCTCTTACAAATCTCATAACTGTACATCAGGGAGTTTCTTCACATATGCAGTTGAAGCATCAGTGTATCTCATTAATAGACTTCCTTCACGGACCCTTTGTCTTCAATCTCTTCATCAACTTCTTTTCCTTAAAGATCCCATTTTTCGTCTACCTCTCAGAGTTTTTGGTTGTAACTACTTTGTTTATGACATGAGTCCTTCTCATTTCAAACTTGATCCTAAATCTATCAAGTGCAATTTTTTGGGTTACTATTCGGTCCAAAAGAGGTACAAGTGCTTTGATCCCCATTCTGTCCGCCGGTATGTATCTAAGGGTGTTATATTTCTTGAGTCCACTCCATATTTCCAGCCCACTTGTCCTTCTCTTCAGAGGGAGAGTGTCAATGAAGATAGGACTCCCTTTTGTTTTCCTGTTCCTATCTCTATGGACATTCCTGGTCCATTTTCCTTCCTTCCCATTTGTAGTAACAATATTCCTACTCCTCCTCCCGTTCCTTAGTAGTGCTCCTGGTAGTAGTGGTTCGTAAGACGCAAAAATAAGGTTACTCCTGAGTCTAAATGTCCACAACAATCTAATCACCCGCCTCTAGGTAATTTTGAAAGCAACCCTGAAGTTCCTATTCCTACTATTATTGAGCCTAATATTTCACAATCTAACATTAATCTTCCCATTGCAGTTTGAAAAGGAAAAAGAAAATGCACTACCTATCCCATCACTAACTATGTATCTTATGATGCTCTTTCACCTTCCTATTGTGCCTATATTTCTGCTATTTCCTCTATTTTTGTTCCTCATAATTTGTCAAATGTAGTGCAATCCCCTCAGTGGAAGGATGCTATGAACCAAGAGATGGAGGCCCTTATAAAGAACCACACCTGGGAGATCATTCCTCTTCCTGAGGATAATGTCCTAGTGGGTTGCAAGTGGGTGTATACTATTAAACATCGGGTTAATGAATCAATTGAAAGATACAAAGCTAGGTTGGTAGCAAAAGGGCATACCCAAACTTATGAGATTGACTATCATGAGACATTTGCTCCTATAGCTGAAATGAACTCTATCCGAGTCATTATGTTTTTTGTTGCTTATTATTCATGGTCATTATACCAAATGGAGGTAAAGAATGCCTTCTTGAATGAAGACCTTCAAGAGGAAGGTTTGTCGTCTAAAAAAATCTCTTTATGGGCTTAAGTAGTCTCCTAGAGCTTGGTTTGATAGATCCAAAAAAGCTGTTCTCAAAATCGGGTTCACACAATCACAGGTAGACCATACACTGTTGATAAGAAGGGTTAATGACCTAGTGACTCTATTGCTAGTGTATGTTGATGATATTGTTGTCACTAGAGATGATCACTCTAGGATAAACCAAGTAAAGTCATTTCTTGGTTCTAAATTTGAGATCAAAGATCTCGGAAATCTCAGATACTTTCTTGGAATTGAAGTGATAAGGTCAAAGGGAGGGACGCTCATTTCATAGAGAAAGTCTATCCTTGATCTCTTTCATGAGGTCGGGAAATTAGGGTGCAAGCCAGTTGAAACTCTCATTGACCCCAATCATAAACTGAGTGTTGACGATGGAAACATTCTTCCAGACAATGGTGTTTACCAAAGACTTGCTTGTCGACTTCTTTAATTGTGCCTGACTCGACCTAATATATCCTATGTCATAAGCGTAGTGAGTTAGTATATGCATAACCCTAGAACTTCACATATGCAGTCCGTCAACAAGATTCTTGCCTACCTAAAGGGGTGTCCAGGAAAAGGAATGTTGTCCTCCAACCAGGGACATCTCAAGGTCAAGGCTTATACTGATGCTGATTGGGCAAGTTATGTGGATGACAGAAGATCCACCTTTGGTTATTGCACTTCGATAGGAGGTAATGTTGTATCTTGGAGAAGCAAAAAACAATCTACTATTGCCCAATCTAGTGTTGAAGCCAAATATAGAGTTGTGGCTCATAGTGTATTATAATTGCTATGGGTAAAGACCTTGTTATCTAAGATTAGGATCCAGGTTGAAGCCCCAATGAGACTTACTGTGATAACCAAGCTGCTATAAACATTGCTCATAACATTGTTTAGCATGACCACACAAAGCACATTGAGGTTGATAGGCATTTCATTAGAGAAAAGATAGCCAATGTATAAATGTGTGCTCTTGTCAAGTCAGAAGATCAACTTGCTGATTGTCTCACTAGGGGTCTCCACAAGCTGAAATTTGATAGAAACCTAAGCAAGTTGGGCATGATAGATATCTATGCTCAGCTTGAGGGGGAGTGTTGAGAATATGTATTTGGCATAAGGGCATTGCTGTCATTCCCTCTTATTTGTATTTGGGTGCCCATATAGGGGCATAAATGTATATTTTTCTTTAATATA